CACAGGGTTTCACCATGTTGGCCAGGATGGTCTGGATCTCTTGAGGTGATCTGCCCACCTCAGCCTCCCAAAGTGCTGGGATTACAGGTGTGAGCCACCGTGCCTGGCCCTAACTTTTATAATAATAAATTTTAAATCTCACTTCATCTGACCCCACAACTATCCCAGTCGAAGCCATCATTTTCTTCTCCAGGAGCACATAGGTATCCCAGCTTTCACTCTTGGCTCTCCTTCTGTTTAGGACCCACACAGTCCATGGGCTCGGACTGGGTCTTTCCTTTCCTCAGAATCCTTCAATGACTTCCCATCATATCTGTAATAAATCCAAAGTTCTTCCCGTGGCCAGGAAGGTCCCACATGATCTGGGCTCTCTCCCTCTTTGCCTGGCTTTCTGTGGTATGCCTTGCTGTGCGTTGCCTTGCAGCCTTTGGGCCAGCTGTGCACTGTGGCTGAAACCAGCACTTTCCTCTTCTTCGTGTAGCTTCCTTCTTGACTTTGTTCATGTCCTCTTCAGGTATCACCTCCTCAGAGAAGCCTTTCCTGTTTCTCTTATTTAAATTTACACCTCTTTCATTTTCCATTCCCTTTGTTTCTAGCTTTCACATTGCTTTTATTTTTCTTTGTGGAAATTAGCACACCTGAAACTGTTGTGGTTTACTTCTGCTATCCTACTAGAATGTAAACTCCTTGAATCACAAATTTCTTTTTTTTTATTGTTTGGGGTTTTTTTTTTTTTTTTTTGAGACAGAGTTTCGCTCTTGTTACCCAGGCTGGAGTGCAATGGCGCGATCTCGGCTCACCGCAACTTCCGCCTCCTGGGCTCAGGCAATTCCCCTGCCTCAGCCTCCTACGTAGCTGGGATTACAGGCACGCGCCACCATGCCCAGCTAGTTTTTTGTATTTTTAGTAGAGACGGGGTTTCACCATGTTGACCGGGATGGTCTCGATCTCTCGACCTCGTGATCCACCCGCCTCGGCCTCCCAAAGTGCTGGGATTACAGGCCTGAGCCACCGCGCCGGCTCACAAATTTCTAAATAGTATCTAGAATGATGAATCATTTTCAGAAGGTTTTCAATGAACTCTGTTCAGATCCATCAGAGGAATCACTGTCTATGGCAGCTATAGACTTATGAGATATATTTCTTAAATAATAAGACTTCAAAGTCAAAATTACTCCCTGATCCATGGACTGCAGAATGGATGCTGTGTTAGCAAGCATGAAAACATTCATCAATCTCCTTGCAGACCATCAGAGCTCTCGGGTGAACAGAGGCACTGTCAATGAGCAGTAATATTTTGAAATGAATTTTTTTCCGAGCAGGTCTCAACAGTGGGCTTAAAATATTCAGGAAACTATGCTATAAAGAGATGTGCTGTCATTCAGGTTTTGTTGTTCTGTTTACAGAACACAGGCAGAGTAGATGTCACATAATTCTTAAGGGCTCTAGAATCTGGAATGGTAAATGAGCATTGGCTTCAATTTAAGGTTACCAGCTACATTCATTCCCAACATGAGAACTGGCTTGTTCTTTGAAGCCTTAAAGCCACACATTGACTTCTCTAGCCATGACAGTCCTGGATGGCATCTTCTTCTAGCAGAAAGCTGTTTTGCCTACTTTGAATTTTTTGTTTAGTGTAGCCACCTTCATCAATTATCTTAGCTAGATCTGCCGAATAACTTGCTACTTCACCTTGTACTTTTATGTTATAGAGATGGCTTTTCCCTTTCAACCTCCACTAGCTTTCAACGTTTTTTCTTCAGTTTCCTCACCTGTTAGCCTTCACAGAGTTGAAGAGAGTTAGGGCCTTACTGTGGATTAGGTTTTAGTTTAAGGGATGTTGTGGCTGGTTTGATCTTCTCTCCAGATCACTTAAACTTTCTTCATATCAGCAATAAGGCTGTTTTACTTTCTTATCATTTATGTGTTCACTGGGGTAGCACTTTTAATTTCCTTCAGGAACGTATGTTTTGCATTCAGAACTTGGTTGTTTGGTACAAGAGGTCTAGCTTTCTTCTTCTCTCAGCTTTTGACATGCCTTCCTCACTAAGTGTAATCATTTCTAGCTTTTGATTTAAAGTGAGAGATATGTGACTCTTCGTTTCACTTCAATACTTAGCCATTGTAGAGTTATTAACTGGTGTAATTTCAATATTGTTTTATCTCAGTGAATAGGGGGGCATAAGGAGAGATAGACAGGATGGCTGGTCAGTGGAGCAGTCAAAATACATACAACATTTATTGATGAAGTCTGCCATCTTATATGGGTACAGTTTGTGACTCCCTAAATCTATTACAGTAGTAATAGAAAAGATCACTGATCGCAGTTCACCATTGTAGATATAAAAATGATGATAAAGGTTAAATATTGCAAGAATTACCAGAATGTGACACAGAGACACTAAATAAGTATGCACTATTGGAAAATTGGCAATAATAGGCTTTCTCTACATAGGGTTGCCACAAACCTTCAATTTTAAGCATAGTGCAATAAACCGAGGTATGCCTCTATTCCCAAATTGCTCTGCAAAGTTAAAAATTTACACTACTCACATGACTGTGGGAGTTTCCCATATTCTTAATAACATCTGGTCTTATCAGCCTCTTTAAGTTTTGCCAGTCTGAGTGAAACTGTATGTCCAGTGTCAGAGGCGTTTGAACCAAAGAAACTCCATCTTGAATAGGGGCTGTGTAAAATAAGGCTTGAGACCTGCTGGGCTGCATTCCCAGGAGGTTAAGGCATTCTATGTCACAGGATGAGGTAGGAGGTCAGCACACGACACAGGTCATACAGACCTTGCTGATAAAACAGGCTGCAGTAAAGAAGCTAGCCAAAACCAAGATGGTGAGGAGAGTGACCTCTGGTCATCTTCACTGCTACACTCCCACCATCGCCAAGACAAGTTACAAGGAAGTTACCCTCTGTGTTTTAAAAAGGGGAGGCATGAATAATCCACCCCTCGTTTAGCATATAATCAAGAAATAACCATAAACATAGGCAACCAGCAGCCCTCTGGCTGTTCTATGGTGCAGCCATTGTTTTATTCCTTTACTTTCTTAATAAACTTGCTTTCTCACTTTACAGACTCACCCTGAATTCTTTCTTGTCAAGATCCAAGAATCCTCTCTTGGAGTCTGGATCTGGACCCCCCTCCAGTAACACTTGTTTTAATTTTCATTTTCCTGATTACTAAAAAGACGAATAGACCAGAGATTTTTTTTTTTTTTTTTTTTTTTTTTTTTTGAGATGGAGTTTCGCTCTTGTTACCCAGGCTGGAGTGCAATGGCGCGATCTTGGCTCACCGCAACCTCCGCCTCCTGGGTTCAGGCAATTCTCCTGCCTCAGCCTCCTGAGTAGCTCGGATTACAGGCACACGCCACCATGCCCAGCTACTTTTTTGTATTTTTAGTAGAGACGGGATTTCACCATGTTGACCAGGATGGTCTCGATCTCTTGACCTCGTGATCCACCCGCCTCGGCCTCCCAAAGTGCTGGGATTACAGGCTTGAGCCACCGCGCCCGGCCTTGACCAGAGATCTTATCCTTAAAAAACACATACACCAAATTATTATCTTGTGCCCCCAGGAGGACTAAAAATTTCCCTATCAGAACATTTCACAGGCAAAGTGACTTAATTTTGCCCTACTTCATGTATCTGGCAATTCCAAATTCTCATATATTTAGCTTTAGTGACACAAAATTGTATTTCCAAATGTTTATTCATTCAACAAACACTTATTGAGGGCCCTGTAATTCTGTAATTTCACCACCCACCAATAGCCTCTCCTCCTGGCACCCACCTTCTAGACCTTGAGCTCTTTGTCCCTTGCAGAGTGGCAGAGTGATCACCTGGCAGGCATGTTTAAGAAAGGCTGAAAGACTCCTTCCAATCTATTGTCCTCGGCATTATTTATTTGCTCACAGTTTTTGTATTCATTACACCCAGAAAGAAACACAGTGTGTTAGTGTGTCCATGCGCTCTCTTACTGCAAAGGAATTAATTATTCCCCAGAGTTTTGAAATGAGGGGGGAAATGCGAATGTTTTCATTTCGATAACTTGTTTTAAATATTAAGAGGATAATTGGTGTCTTCTAAAGAAACTCAATTTACTTTTTCTTCTAGAAGCAAGTTTTTTGCTCATCGCACACACAAAAAGTCTCACTTTATTTCATTATTTCGTTGTAATGCCAAGTTTGATTAAAAGGGCAATGAAAACTATTTCTCGTTCGCACTGACTCATGGTATTTCTCAATTCTGAAGACAGAAAAGATCGTCAAGCCGTAATTGTTCAATCTTTAGTTTCTATCCGTAACAAATAATCGTTAACGGTTAACTATACTATAGATATCTTCATCAAGCTGCTGCGACTTTTCTTCTACGTTGAAAACCACAAGCCTTGTGTAAACAAGTCGGCTTCTGTGCTTTTAGGAAAGAACGATCAGGATTTAACTCATTTCATTGCTTCAGATAATGGTGTGGTTCCCAGATAAGAGGTGCTACATCGAGGGGCGGCGAATTAGATTACGAAGGGTGGCGTTCGTGCTGGATTCCATGATTTTTTAAATCTTGTAAACCGCACGCAGCAAGGAAAGTGCTAAATGTCATGCAGCGTGACCGGCGCCACCCTCGCGCTGCTCCCCATTACCCACCAGTCTTCACTTTTCCTCCACTACCTCGAGAATTCATGCAAATCAGCCAGCTATCCCCAGGGCAATACGAACCATTTTCGCGCCACTCGCTCAGGACCGCGCAGCTGCATAAGGAGAGAGGTCCTTGTACCCGCTAAAATGCCGCTTTCTAAAAACGGATTTTAGGAGTGGCCAAGGCTATCCTTTGAAGTCAAATATATAGTGGGGTCCTTTTTTTCCAGGGAGCCATCGAGTCTTGCCCCGGGTCTGGCCGTTACCACAGCTTGCAGGACCTGCGTCCCAACGCGGGAAACACTGCTTGAGCCCCGCCCCTCCGGGCCCGGGTCGGCGCGCCCCGCCTGCCGGCCGCGCTGCTGCTGCTCCTCCTGCTGTGGGACCGCTGAGCGCGCGTCTGCTTCGCTCTCCCAGCTCCAAGTACGGGCCTGCGCACCTGCCGCCAGCATGGACGCTCGCCGCGTGCCGGTGAGGGCTGGGCGGGCGAACCCGAGGGGCGGGCGCGGTGGGTGCTGGACGCAGTCGGCTGCGGGCCGACCCTCTCCAACTCAGCAGCCTAGCGCTGCCTATCAACTGGTGGCCTGGCTGGGCGTTGGCCGCTTGGGCAAGCCCCAGATTTCGTGCACCTGGGATAACTGAGGGCCATGGGGACGTTCCTGCGCGGCATGCACACCCTAAGTGCGGACGGCGTGGAGACTTGAGTCGTGTGCAGGATGGCTGGCCGCTTTGGAAAGCCCTAGGCACGTGCGCCCGCCAAAGGCCGGACAGCAGCCAGGAGGGCTGGCCGGTCCCGATTGTGTCCGTCGGGGAGAGCCCCCTGCCTGCCCTCTGGGAGTTTGTCCCGCAGCCGCCCAGCCCTTTCCCCCGCACACAGCTGGGAGTCCGTGCGTGGCTCGCCGCGTCTACACCCGCGCTCAGTGGGTGGCCCTTGGGCGAGCTCCCCTGCCCGGCCAGAGCCTCGTGCGCTTCTGACCGCGGAGGGCCAGCGCGTTTGAGTTTTAAGGTCTTGGGAACCGGTCTTCTAGAACTTGGGTTACCCACGGTAGGCCGGGCGGTGGTTAAGTGCAGTTAAAGGGCTGGGTGGGCCAAACCGTTCGCCGACCATTTGCTGGTTTCCCACTTCCTCCACCCCTACCCCGCAACCTTACTGTTAGCTGCAGGAGGTTGCTCTGAATGGAACGTTACTTTTTGCTCTTACGGAAGCCGGAACGTAGGGTCGGGCTCCTGGAGAGGGTACGGGAGTGGGGGTTGGGTGAAACGGAAGAGAATAACACGTTTAAAATAAATTTCAGAGGTTAGGGACCCACGTGTGGGGAGGACTGGTGGCGGGGGTGGGTGTGATGGGGCGTGGTTTCATAGCTGGAGCTGGGCATCGGCTTCAGGATGAGGAAAACAAACCGTGTGTAGCTGGTCTTGAAACCGACCTGCCTGGGTTTAAATTTGAGCCACCATGGGACTTGAATAATCCATTTCGCCTTCCTGAGCCTATTTTCTCATTGGCTATGTGAGAATAACGATAGAACCTTTGCTGCAAAGTATTAGACCTGACGTGAAAGCGTTAATATAGTACCTGGCACGAAAAACGCCTACTATAAATGGTATTAGTTACTGCTTACCTGCCAAAGAAGTTAGTTTTGACTATTTGCCTTGCTTCTTTTTTTTGGCTTTTCCTCCAAAGATACATTTGCCTGGTAAATAACTCGGCTTGTTCTGACCTGTTGAAACCCAGCGTATATTTCTCAGACAGCTTCCAATAGATTGCCGTCTTTGAGGCTGAGGCCTCTGTTTGCAAGTAGATTGATGGGTAATTGGTGGCAATTCCTGCAGTAATGCAAGGAACACTGCCGTTTAAGAAGATAGCAGACTGAGTTCCCCTTCCTGCCCCTGTGATCTTGAAGTCTATTACAACTTCCTGGGGCCTTGAATTTCTTCATCGGAAATGGGATCGGAGATCCTTTTCAGCTCCCAACATTCACAGTGTCCCAGGCTGGAGTGCAGTGGCACAGTCACGGCTCACTGCATCCTACAGGGCTCAAGCAGATCGTCCCACCTCAGCCTCCCAAGTAGCTGGGACTACATGTGTGCACCACCACACCCGGCTGATTTTTGTATTTTTAGTACAGGCGGGGTTTCACCATGTTCCCCAAGCTGGTGTCGAATTCGTGGGCTCAAATGATCCTCCCGCCTTGGCTTCCCAAAGCGCTGGGATTACAGGTGTGAGCCACCCCCCACCCCCACCTAACCTTTATATTTCGTAGCTCTAACATTGCCCTGCCTTGTTAAAAGGGCAAAAGGCAAAAACTTCCTAAGATGATTGGATGGAGTTTACTTAGGGGTTTAGGAATGTTGAGGGTATGATCATCATGAAAATAACTTTATTTGCAAGAGACTGAAATTCTTAATGTTAGGCAGAGAAGGAAGGCAAGAATGTTTTGAGTATGTGACATCTCACATCTTAGCATGTTTTGTAGAATCTATAGCAGTTTGCCCTTTCAAAGTTTTCAGTATAAGGAATCACTTCTGCTATTCCATGGTCCCACTTAAGAGGATAAAAACACAGGACCTAATGCAACACTTAAGAAATCTCGTTAATATAGCAGAGTTTGCCCTTTCAAAGTTTTCAGTATAAGGAATCACTTCTGCTATTCCATGGTCCCACTTAAGAGGATAAAAACACAGGACCTAATGCAACACTTAAGAAATCTCGTTAAATATCACGAAATGACAAACCTCTATTCTTTTTACACAGGATAGATGCCAATTGCGTTTTCTCAGAGCAGTGCCAAACTGTTCAGTATTTACGAATGAAGGAAGCATTTCTATATAAGTAATTTACACCTTATAAAAGAATTTTAAAGAACTTAAGTCTTGAATAGCAAAGGGACAGCAGAAAGCTGAATGACAGCCTGGAGTAATAGAGTGCTAAAATGTAATCAGGTATCCCACCTGCATTTGGCGTGCTGTTTGACCTTTCACTTGGCTCCTTGTACCATTTGTTGAAGGGTTTGATGTATTTGCTTTGTAAGGACTTGTGTGGAAATCACTATAGCCCTCTTGATTGAAAGGGGGCGTGCTTGGAAGCCTGCCATCTTGAAGTAGAGGTCCTGCCCAGTTTCTGTAGTTTGTGAAATTAGCATCACAGTACATAGCCTAAAGCTTACATAAAAATACCTCATTAGCTTGATTTTGGCTGAGGGAGAAAAATCATTCTGCCATTTTGTACTTTTGAAATGTCCTTTTAGAAGTACAGTTTAATTTAAAAAAAAAAAACAAACAGGTTGGATTTTAGGAGTTTAGTATTCAGAACTCCTGTGGAGCTCAGTATAATGCTAAGAGCTAAAGATTGGGTGCTCATAAAGATGGGTTGTGAGGTAGCTCTACAGATGTTTGAAGAAATTGATAAATGTCTTCTAAATTTTCCTGCAGAGGGATCCCTTCTTAGAATTTGACTTGATTTTGAAGATTTTTGGGTCCAGGTAGAGTGGCATATTCCTGTAATCCAAGCACTTTGAGAGGCTGAGGCGGTAGGATCATTTGAGCCTAGGAGTTTGGGACACTAACAAACTGGCAACATAGCAAGACTCCATCTCTACAAAAAAATAAAATAAGTTAGCTCAGCATGGTGGCACATGTAGTCCTGGCTACTCAGGAGGCTGAGGCAGGAGGCTTGCTTGAGCTTAGGAGTTCCAGATTGCAGTAAGCCATGATCTCACCACTGCACTTTAGCCTGGACGACAGAGCGAGATCCTGCTTCTTACTAAAAAAAAAAAAAAAAAAAAAAAAAAAGAAAGAAACAGTTTTTTGTAGCAGTTGACAATCTTCGTTTTCTATGTAGGGTATGATAAATGGACGTGTCTACTCTGTGCTGTTTGAACCTACGAAACTAAAAAATGATGTCTTTAGTTAAATAAAGTAAGCATCACACTTAATAGGATTGATATTTCCATTTGCAGCAGAAAGATCTCAGAGTAAAGAACTTAAAGAAATTCAGATATGTGAAGTTGATTTCCATGGAAACCTCATCATCCTCTGATGACAGTTGTGACAGCTTTGCTTCTGATAATTTTGCAAACACGGTAAGTGCTGCCTGAGAATAAACAGAATTGAGTCTGCAGTGCTCAAAATGCCCCAGATGCTTTGTGCGTGATTAAAACTGCTTGCTTTTGCCTACATTTCTATACAGCCGTTATGAAAATACAGTATGCACTATAATTTCATTTCACTTTTTGCTGTGGTTCTAGGTAGTAATTGTTGGAGGTAGATTAGCTACTTATTCTATCCTTTTGAAATGTCGCCTAACCTAACATGCATGATGATTTGCCATAACAACTCAGAAATCATTTGTAAACCTCTGAACCATTTTTCTTTGTAACAAAAGCTGTTCTCTTGTAGTGCACTTGTAAATGTGATTTGCTCTCTGCACGGTTTATGGAAAATTGGTTCTTGAAAAAGAAAAAAAATGCACAACCACATTTATATATTTATTTTACAGAAACCTAAATTCAGGTCAGATATCAGTGAAGAACTGGCAAATGTTTTTTATGAGGACTCTGATAATGAATCTTTCTGCGGCTTTTCAGAAAGTGAGGTGCAAGATGTATTAGACCATTGTGGATTTTTACAGAAACCAAGGCCAGATGTCACTAACGAACTGGCTAGTATTTTTCATGCCGACTCTGACGATGAATCATTTTGCGGTTTCTCAGAGAGTGAGATACAAGATGGAATGGTGAGTTTGAGAATTTCACCAGTTTCAAGAAGTAAGATACATTTAGAGGCATGACATATTTAAAAAAAATTTTTCTTATGATTTTGATTTTAGTCATGCCAGCAGACTTTGCTGAACTTTTCAAAATTTTGAGTATTTTCTTCATGTCTTAAAGCAGTGTTTACAAATGTAGTTCGGACTTGTAAATCATGAATATTTTGTAGGCTCTGAAAATTTGGAAACTGGTAAGATAAAACTGGCCAATCTCCAGATTTTCGTGACCGCAAAAATCCAGCCTTATCGGGAAGCACACTAGTCCTAAATATTATCTACATTTGCATTTAAGTTCATGTGCCCAGCCAAGTTCCTGTCATAGAGCAGGCCTTTGATAAATGTTGGTCCTATAGTAGATCTGTGGCTACATCTTGAAAACCTGTGATAACATAGACACGGGAGCTCCAGTGCAGATAATGACATTGAGGGCCCTTCTTGCTTCTACTTTTGCTCCTTGGTTGGCTTTTCCTGTGCACGCTACCTTTAACCGCTGCTGCCACTGTTATGCTGTGCCTCGGTCCCACTCTTTCTGAGCGTATTGTTTAATTCTGCAGACATTCTCTTGTTCCAAACACTTTCTTGACAAAGGAAGCAATGCATTCACTGATAATCAAGTGCATGCTCTTTAACTCCCTGGTCTGACATGGATCCACTGCCTGAGGACCACGGCTTGAGTAACATTGATACAGGTGGCAGTGCCTGGCCAAGGAGTTTTTTTTATCACTCATGATACTGGTCCAAATCATTGCTTATTGGAGTTTGTTGCAGGGGGGCCGGCCAGTCTGCAGATTGGGATGTGACACAAATATTGTCAATAGACTGAATGATTTCTGGGCAGCGTTTCTGTTCTTTGAAGATACTGTCATGATTAATAAAATGCCAATTCATTAGGAACTCACGAAGGGTTTTTGTTGTTTTGTAGTCTCTCAAACCATGGACACTAAAAGTACTAAAACATGTTTGTGAGCATTTAAGACTTTTTGGAGACAGGGTCTTGCTCTGTCACCCAGGCTGGAGTGCAGTGGTGCGATCATGGCTCACTGCAGCTTCCACCTCTTAGGTTTAAGCTATTCTGCCTTCTTAGCCTCCCCGGTAGCTAGGACTACAGGCGTGTGCCACCATGCCTGGCTACTTTAAAAAAATTTTTGCAAAATGTGGGCTCACTTTGTTGCTCAGGCTGGTCTCAAACTCCTGGGCCCAAGCAGTTTTTCTGTCTCGGCCTCCAGAAGTGCTGGTTTTACAGCCGTGAGCCACCTTGCTGGCTTTGAGAAATATTTTAATGTCAAAACTGGGTCTTTATAAGTGACATTCTGGGACTTTATGGGTAATAGTTTTTTTTTTCCTCTCTTTTTTTTCTTACTTAACCTGCAACCATTACCACAGTCAATTTTAGAATATTTTTATCGCTCCAGAAAATGACTCTACCCATTAACAGTCATTCCCTATTCTTTACCAGCACCTCCACCTCCTGGCAACCATCAGTCTGCTTTCTGTTGTAATAGAGTAGACTGTTGTGGATAGTTCATAAAAAAGGAATCATATGATAGGTGGTCTTTTGTGACTGACTTCTTTCACTTAGCATTAATGATCTCAAGGTTTATGTTGTGGCATGTCTTAGTTCTTAATTTTTATTGCAGAATATTCTTTTTTTTTTTGAGATGGAGTTTCACTCTTGTTACCCAGGCTGGAGTGCAAGTGGAGCAATCTCGGCTCACCGCAACCTCCGCCTCCTGGGTTCAGGCAATTCTCCTGCCTCAGCCTCCTGAGTAGCTGGGATTACAGGCACGTGCCACCATGCCCAGCTAATTTTTTGTATTTCTAGTAGAGACGGGGTTTCACCATGTTGACCAGGATGGTCTCGATCTCTTGACCTCGTGATCCACCCGCCTTGGCCTCCGAAAGTGCTAGGATTGATTACAGGCTTGAGCCACCGCACCCGGCCTGCAGAATATTCTTTTGTGTGAATCAACTACATTTGATTTACCCATTCATCAGTTGATAGATAAGTGGATTGTTTGCACTTTTGGGGCTATTATGAATAATGCTACTGTGAACACTCATGTACAAGTTTTTGTGTAGATGTCTACTCTTAGGTATATATATAGGAGTGGAATTGTGGGTCATGTAGTAATTGTTTAACCTTTTGAGAAATAGACAAGACTGTTTTCCAAAGGGGCTACACCATTTACATTCCTTGCAACAGCAGTATTTAAGGGTTACAGTTTCTCCAAATTTTTGCTAATACTTTTTTTTTTTTTTTTTGAGACAGAGTCTCTCTCTGTCACCCAGGCTGGAGTGCAGTGGCACGATCTTGGCTCACTGGAACCGCCACCTCCTGGGTGCAAGCAAGTCTTGGGCCTCAGCCTCCTGAGTAGCTGAGACTACAGGCACATGCCACCACACTTGGCTAATTTTTTATATTTTTAGTAGAGACAGGGTTTTGCCATGTTGGCCAGGCTGGGCTTGAACTCCTGACCTCAGGTGATCTGCCCATCTCGGCCTCCCAAAGTACTGGGATTGGAGGTGTGAGCCACCATACTCAGCCTCCTTTTGCTTTTTAGCTGTACTATGAAGTGGTATTTCATTGTGATTTTGTTTGTTTTTGAGATGGAGTCTTGCTCCGTAGTCCAGGCTGGAGTGCAGTGGTGTGATCTCAACTCACGCAACCTTTGCCTCTTGGGTACAAGCAGTTCTTCTGCCTCAGCCTCCCAAGTAGCTGGGATTACAGGCACGCGCCACGATGCCCGGCTAATTTTTGTATTTTTAGTAGAGACGGGGTTTCACCATTTTGGCCAGGCTGGTCTCAAACTCCTGACCTTAGGTGATCCGCCTGCCTCAGCCTCCCAAAGTGCTAGGATTAAAGGCATGAGTCACCACGCCCGATCCCTCATTATGATTTTGATTTACATTACCCTATGGCTAATTTTGATAAATTTTTAATGATGAAAACCTATATTACTTTTGGAATCTGCAAATTTTTTTATGTTGAGCTTCTGAAAGTAAATTAGAGAAGTACCTAGAGAAGTCAAATTTATAGACAGAAAATAGGATGACGGTTGCCAGGGGCTGAGGGAATGGGGAATTACTGTTTAATGGGTATGGGTGGAGTTTTAGTTGGAGAAGGTGAAAACATTCTGGAGATGGATGGTGGTGATGGCTGTACAACAATGTGCTTATGTTTAATGCCATTGAACTTAAAAATGGTTAAAATGGTAAATCTTATATGTATTTTATTTTTTTTTAAGTAGAGAATTGAGATGTGTTAATATAGTTTATTGCCATAAACATTGAAGCCATATTTATAGGGGAACACATTTTTCCCCCTGTTTTTTCAAGACAGGGTCTGGCTCTGTCATCCAGGTGGAGTACAGTGGCACAAACATAGCTCACTGAGCCTCTGCCACCTGGACTCAAGCCATCCTCCCACCTCAGCCTCCCAAGTAGCTGGGACCACAGGCATGTGCCACCATGCTTGACTAATTTTTTTTTTCCTCTGGGCAGAGACGAGGTTTTACCATGTTGCCCAGACTGGTCACAAAACTCCTGGGCTCAAGTAAGTCACCTGCCTTAGCCTCCCAAAGTGTGGGGATCACATATATGAGCCATTGTGTCCAGCCGGGAGAATACATTTGCTTTTGTAAGAATTCTTTTAAAATACATAAAGATCTGTTTTTAAAGAAATGAAAAGCAGTTGGTAGGAATTTTAACATTTAAAAAAATGGCTCAGAACCACGGGCCTAGGGACCGGGAAAATAGCTTATAATAATGTGGTCCAGATAGGCTACATGGAGTTAAACTGCACTCTGTTTATTGTTGTACTCTTTGTGGTTCTTGATTTTGTTACCCAGGGGTGTCAATGTCCAGTTAAAGTTAATTTCATACAAGTGTCTTGTTCAAAAGGAACTTTGTAGTCATACTGATGGAGCTTGTCTGCTGATCAAGTCCTAATGACTCAATTGTTGTGATTAGAGGCTGCAGTCAGTTCGGGAAGGCTGTAGGACCCGCAGCCAGTGCAGGCACTCTGGACCTCTCAGGGTGGCCATGAAGTTTCCAGCTCGAAGTACCAAGGGAGCAACCAACAAAAAAGCAGAGCTCCCACAGTCCTCTGAGAATTCTGTGACTGATTCCAACTCCGATTCCGAAGATGAAAGTGGGATGAATTTTCTGGAGAAAAGGGCTTTAAATATAAAGCAAAACAAAGCAATGGTAGGTATCTGACTTTGTGTTAGAACTAATTTTTCCCCTCTAAGGGACTCATTACTTAAATCTGTTCCATCACACAAAAAAAGTTAATTTTTTTTTCTGTTACACAAATAAAAGGTTATTTTTGTTTGAAGAAGGGAATAATGTAATAGTAAAAAGCAAAACCTTATAATTTGTAATTGCGATATAATAAATTGTGCTGTTGTTTAATATAAAACTTAATCTCCAGCTCTGCTTAAAATTAATTAGCTCCTTGTAAAACCTACCTTATCTATTCTCCCTGCATTCTCAGCAAGCTTCCCAGGCATTTCAAGACTCCTGTTTTTCTTGCTGCCCAGCTGCAAGGTCACAGGGCATAATAACACCCAAAGAATGTACGTTTTGTTTCTCAAAATGCTGTTTTTCAAATGTAAGGTACATCACAAGACATGTTACAAATTAATTAAGTGTTCTTTGTTCTGGCTTCGGTAAACCTGTTAGCGGCTACTTCATCCTGAATGTCTAGAAAGTACCCCATTTTCTTTCTCCTGGGCTTACCTGTGAGGTCTTTAATGCGTGCCTCAAAATGTGTTTCTTTCCCTGAACTACGTTTTTTCAATCTGTTAAAGGCCTACTTAAGTGTACAGGGGAAATCAGAAACTTTGAGTGTGTCAACTTGCTATCAAATATAAAACCGTGAAATGTGCTTGAGTGTTTTCCACGAGTTAGTTGGTCATTTTCAGCAGGTACTCTAAGCCAATGATATCAGTTTAATTTCCTCCCTTTTTAGCTTGCAAAACTCATGTCTGAGTTAGAAAGCTTCCCTGGCTCGTTCCCTGGAAGACATTCCCTCCCAGGCTCCAACTCAGTAAGTACCAGTCCTTGTTTATATACTAGTAGTGTTTTGGGCACACCTCAGGTAGATTTGTGTTGTATTTAAAAATCTAATTTTTTAACTTCTGTGGTCTTCTAGACAAACGAAGGGGACCTAGAGGAAACCCCTTGAGAGATTTCTGGATGATCCTCCTTGAATCCTGGGCAGTTTGGTCTCCCCTTGCTGTGCTCCTGTGGCACTAAATCCCTTTTGATTGGTTATTTCTTTCCTTCTCCGCTAGACTAAGCCCCTCAAGGGCAGGTAATGAAGATTGAAAACTTTTTCCTGTTCTCCAGCATGAGCACATTCCTCCTACATGGTAAATGTGCAATAGATGTTTTTAAAATTGGAGAATGAAATTAAAACCACAATTTCTTACCAAGTCATAGCTTGGTGTCATATATGACTGCATTCTGAGGAATTAAGCTGGTACAACCCGAGGATTTGGTGTGTCTGCTGTGATAGGAAAGACTCATTTTTCCTGCCTTCCCCTTGAGGATAGGAAAGAAGGGAAGAGGGAAACCATACAGATACCCCTCTGTTGTGCAGTGTAGAAACTGAGTGTGTTTCTACAGGGCCAAGAGGCATCAGTGAAAAGTTTGTGTTTTTTAAGAACAGAAGATTATTTCTTACATCTTCATTAAGTAAAAGAATAAATAGCTCGTCTCTCAAGTTTAAAGAAACTGGGCTTGGTATTACAAAAGCAAAACTAAGATGACCATATAGGTTTTAGGCTCATTTTGCCATGCATTATGTAAAGGACAAAGAAAATGAAAAAAAAAAAAAAAAAAAACCAGAGCTCTCTTGACTGAAAACATCCTGAAGGAGAAGGTATGGATTCCCCAAAGTACTGCTTCTCTTTACTGTGGAATAAATGGATTCCATTATGCGTGCTTCTTTGCTTAGCAATCAAGGAGACCTCGAAGGCGTACATTCCCAGGTGCTGCGTCCAGGAGAAACCCTGAACGGAGAGCTCGTCCTCTCACCAGGTCAAGGACCCGGATCCTCGGGTCCGTTGACACCCTACCCATGGAGGAGGAGGAGGAGGAAGAGGATAAGTACATGTTGGTGAGAAAGAGGAAGACCATGGACAGCTACATGAACGTGAGTTCTCCGCGTTGGTGCTTGCTTTTCTGATTCTCATCTTCTGTAGGCCTGGCATCATACACAGCGCAGGGACACACACATCCTCAACGCTAGGCGATCCATAGTTCAGTGTTTTTCTTTAACCGTTCAGAATTGTAAACATCACAGAAGCTTACTTGGTAATTTTATTAGCAGGCAAGAATTGGGTTTTCTTCATCTCTTCTTCGTTGTAGGCATCATTTCCAGAATGTCCAGTTATTGCTGCAGTAAGCATATGGCTTGTTCTCCTACCATAAGCTCTAGGAGAGATTTCCAAGTTGAATTTTGTGTGAAGAAATGACAAGTCATGTATCTGAGATTGAGAGCTGGGGAGAGCCAGTTCTGAATCTCTTGTGTTTCATGTTGGAATCTTTGTTGTTCAGTTTTGAATCTGTTTGACTCCGTGTTGAAGCTCAGCTCTGTTTTTCTATTCCCTGTAATGCAGGAAGTCGACGTGCCCAGAAGTCGTCGCTCCAGGTCATCCCTGACCCTTCCGCATGTCATTCGCCCAGTGGAGGAAATTACAGAGGACGATCTGGAGAACATCTGCAGCAACTCTCGAGAGAAGATCTATAACCGTTCACTGGTGAGAGCCTCTGAATGACACCTGAGAATATAAACATCTGTGAGAGGAAGAGAGCTTCTGTTCCTAAGCATTGCCCAGGTTCTAGAGGGTTCAGCATGTGAAATGTGTTCCTGTATGTTTTTTTCACATAAGGAAGGAAAAGTTTTACAGTATCTCTGGGATTTAGCCCTCTTTCACTGTGGAATTATCTGCTTAGTAAATCTGTAGTCATGGCAAAGCTTCTCTCCTAATTGAGAAATCAACTCATTCAACATATATTTATTGCATGTCTATTATATGTATATACATAGATAGGTGGCGCGGTGTCGTGGTGCACCGAAGATAAAAATGGATTTGGGTAGTTTTTTTTTTTTTTTTGAGACGGAGTTTCACTCTTGTTACCCAGGCTGGAGTGCAATGGCGCGATCTCGGCTCACCGCAACCTCCGCCTCCTGGATTCAAGCAATTCTCTTGCCTCAACCTTCTGAGTAGCTGGGATTACAGGCACGCGCCACCATGCCCAGCTAATTTTTGTATTTTTAGTAGAGACGGGGTTTCACCATGTTGACCAGGATGGTCTCGATCTCTTGACCTCGTGATCCACCCACCTCGGCCTCCCAAAGTGCTGGGATTACAGGCTTGAGCCACCGCGCCCGGCAAGGGTAGATTATTTTTTAAAAACACCATTTCTCGAAGAAAAGTTGTTTTACCATGCCAGGCTAGTTTTTGTATTTTTAGTGGAGATGCGGGTTTCCCCACATTGCCCAGGCTGGTCTCGAAATCCTGGGCTCAAGCAATCCACCCTCCTCAGCCTCCCGAAATGCTGGGATTACAGGTGTGAAACACCGCATCTGGCTGCGTTATTTTTCACACTCTGGCATGTACATGTGTATGCAGAGATTCAAAGATAAAATGTCGGACTGTAGTATGAAGAGGGACATTCTGTAAATATGCCATTTTCTCTGTTAAAAAACAGGGCTTTTTGGTTTTTTTTCTTAATTGCTTATTTGTAGGGCTTCTACTTGTCATCAATGCCGTCAGAAGACTATTGATACCAAAACAAACTGCAGAAACCCAAACTGCTGTGGCGTTCGAGGACAGTTCTGTGGACCCTGCCTTCGAAACCGTTATGGTGAAGAGGTCAGGGATGCTCTGCTTGATCCGGTAGGTTGATCCTGTGGGCTTGAAGATTAGCCACAAACTGTGATGAGGCCAGAAAAAAGGCATCGGTGAAGGGGTGGAGCCCTTTTTGTTATGGGTTGCTCTTAATTCAGAACAGAAATTAATTCAGAGTGATAGTGCTGCATAGGAATGAGCTGCTTCCACTCAGGTCTGAATTGTCCCTGGGAAGCTGCTGCTCCATTTATCCCTAGTAGCTGCTTGTAACACTGCTAGAAGGAAGCATTAGGCATAACTAATGCATGTTAATCATATTATAAAGTTTTAGCCATAAAAAAGGGGCTAAATGTGATGTAGGTAAGTCGGTGGGGAAGTTAAGGTTTAAGTTAATTGTGCCATTTGACAATCGCCCCTCAGAACTGGCATTGCCCACCTTGTCGAGGAATCTGCAACTGCAGTTTCTGCCGGCAGCGAGATGGACGGTGTGCAACTGGGGTCCTTGTGTATTTAGCCAAATATCATGGCTTTGGGAACGTGCATGCCTACTTGAAAAGGTAATGGGCATTTTTTTTCTGTTTTCCACATCTGAATCTTATATTCATTTATGTCATAATGCAAAGACGACAGACGTCAGAATGAGTGGTTATCTCTGGTAGGGTGGAGACTGACTGGAAAGGGGTGGGGACAGGAGGGGCTAGGAACATTTTCTGTCTTCACTTGGGTGGTGGTAATGTGGAGGGGGTAGGTGCGTATGTGTACTTGAAGATGCGTACACTTGACCATAGTTAAGTCATAACTCAATAAAAATGCTATTAAAAATGACTTAGGCTTTCTTTCTTTTTTTTTTGTGAGACGGAGTTTCGCTCTGTTACCCAGGCTGGAGTGCAATGGCGCGATCTCGGCTCACCGCAACCTCCGCCTCCTGGGTTCAGGCAATTCTCCTGCCTCAGCCTCCTGAGTAGCTGGGATTACAGGCACGCGCCACCATGCCCAGCTCATTTTTTGTATTTTTAGTAGAGATGGGGTTTCACTATGTTGACCAGGATGGTCTCGATCTCTTGACCTTGTGATCCGCCCGCCTCGGCCTCCCAAAGTGCTGGGATTACAGGCTTGAGCCACCATGCCCGGCGCGATTTAGGCTTTCAAAACAGAATTATTTGGTTGAAAACTTATGTCCTGACATGTTTCCTTTTCTCTTCCACAGTCTGAAACAGGAATTTGAAATGCAAGCATAATATCTGGAAAATTCACGGCCTGCTTTCTGCTTCTCAAATCTTTCTTGTTAAAGTTTCCAGGTTTTTCACTGAAACCTCTGAGTCAAGGATCTTGAGGGTCAGCCTGTTTTATAAGAAACTCCAATCAAGGTAATCTCAGTAGACGTGTTTCTGGAGCGTCACGGAAGGTCTATTACTAGTTAACGCTTTGCCTTCCTGCAGTTTCTTTTCTGCTCCCAACCCCCTCCCCCCATAGCATTCCCCTCCATTTCCAGCGGTCCTCTCTAGCTGCTTAGTTTTGTAATTTCTTTTAAAGTATAGTTTTATGAAAGCGTATTTTATTTACTTGGTGTTGAAATAGCCCTCATAAAAGCTAAAGCACTTAGAAACACAGTGATGAGTATTAACCAGCTAGAGAATTTCAGGGAACAGCCTTCTAACTTGTTTACATAAAAACAAGTATGATTTAGCATTCATACTAGTTGAAATTTTTAATAGAGTCAAGGCACAAAAGTCTTAAAACCATGTGGAGAAATTAGATGATTGCTGCAGATTGGAGTATGTGACTTCAGATGCCTTTCAAACCCATGTGTTGTGCTTATGTTACAAGTTGTTGTCACAGTTGAGACTTATTTCTGCTAATTTCTTGTGCCCAAAGGGTAAGTGGTGCGTCTAGCTTACACAATCATGATTCAAAGGTTGGTGGGCAAGTAATACTTAAAATTGTAATAGAAAAGCTATCTGGAAATTACGAGGAGGCCGGTTTGAATTTTCGGTGTAAAACTTTAGTATGATTGTAGTTTGCCAAGTTTATTTCAGTTTACATGTAAGGTACTGCAAATAAATTCTTGGACAATTTTGCTTGGAAACTTGATATTAAAAACTTAGTCTGTGGTTCTTTACAGTTTCTTGAAAATTTATAAACCTAGGCGCAGGGTTTAAGTTTAGATTTTAAGCACTTTTGTAAGAATGAGAAGTGCCTTTTTGGAGATGTAACTTTCAGCAGTTAACCTAACATCTCTGCCAGTCTAGTTTCTGGGCAGGTTTCCTGTGTCCGTATTCCCCCGCCTCTTTGCATTAATCAAGTTATTTGGTAGAGGAGGAATCTAAGTGTTTGTGTGTCCGATTTACTTGCATGTGTAAACCATTGCTGACCCATTCAGTGTTTGATGCATGATTGGACCATGAATCGATAAGTGTAAATACAACTGTTGATCTGTAATGCTTTTATACAAAAGTGTTTATTTTGATAATAAACTGTTTGTCCTAACTTGTCTGCTTTTTAAAAAATAATCTTACTGTACTTAATTCTAATTTTTTTCTCATATTTAAATAAAAGGCTATTTCCAACTTTTCTTTAAAAAAAAAAAAAAAAAAAAAAAGGTCTCCTTTTTGACTGAAGTTCCTGAAAGTCTAAGGTCAGCTCGTTTGAAAGAATCTCACTGGGTGACAGGACTAATGCCTGTGATTAGAAAAATGGGCTGAGATAACCACAGTGCCTGATAGAAAACAATACATGCTCATGAAGTTTTGTAGTGTTTTCTTTTCCTCTATTATGTGCTTTGCAATACCTGGCTTACTTTTATCAACCATTCAAATATATATTAAATGCATGTTGTGCCTTGAGGCTTGTTCCAGGACTGTGAGAATCAAAAAACAAAAAAGGCATGGTATAAAAGCTCTCATAGCCCAATTCTTTGTTTTAGAGACAGGTCTTGCTATGTTGCTCAGAATGGTTTCAAACTCCTCGGCTCAAGTATCTGACTGCCTTGGCCTCCCAAAGTGCTAAAATTACAGGCAAGAGCCACCACTATGCTGGCTGCCCAATTCTTTTTTTTTTTTTTTATTTTTTTTGAGACAGAGTCTTGCTGTTGTTGACCAGGCTAGAGTGCAGTGGCGCCAACTCGGCTTACTGCAACCTCCGCCTCTAGGGTTCAAATGATTCTTCTGCCTCAGCCTCCCGAGTAGCAGGGATTACAGGCGCGTGCTACCACACCCAGCTAATTTTTATATTTTTGTTAGATGCGGGGTTTCACCATGTTGGGCAGGCTGGTCTTAAACTCCTGACCTCAGATGATCCACCCACCTCAGCCTCCCACAGTGCTGGGATTACAGGCATGAGCCCCACCATGCCCTGCCTGTCCCAATTCTTTAGACCAGGGATTGGCAAACTACAGCCTGTGGGCTACATGCTGCTGCAGCCTTTATTGATATGACTATGAACTAAGTGTTTTTTTTTTTTTTTTTTCCATTTGTAAAGGGTTGTTAAATAAGCAGACAGTATGGTTTACAAAACCTAAGATATTTACAACCTGGCACTTTACAGAAAAAGTTTGCTGTGTCTGCTCTAGACTTATCTGAGAGGCTATGTTTACCCCAAACTCATTTGGGGAGAAGTCCAAGCTAAATGAAGTTGTACAACTGCTATTCTATGTTGTTCCAAAAGAAGTCAGTAACTTTGTTTTTCATTAACCCAAACTGTAATCCAACCCTGTTAGATATGTAATTTGGAAGCTTTAATGTTTAGAGTTCATATAAATTGACGCTTATTTGGAAAATTTTAGGTGTTACCATGTTTTAATTAGGAAGTAGAGCTAATGTGGTTTTCATTGAAAATGAACTGTAACAGTTGATTTGGATGCCTAATCCTTAAAGAATTTACAATCTAATGGAGGAACTAAGATGAAAACTCCAAAAATAATGTTCTCAGCAGGAATGAAGGGAGGAAAACTCGTTGGCATTTCCCATCACCAGACATTTTATTTTTTATTGTATTTTTTGAGATGGAGTCTGTTGCCCAGGCTGGAGTGTAGTGGCACCATCTCGGCCCACTGAAATCTCTGCCTCCTGGGTACAAGCGATTCTCCTGCCTCAGCATCCTGAGTAGCTGGTACTACAGGTATGTGCCACCACACCTATCTCGGCCCACTGAAATCTCTGCCTCCTGGGTACAAGCGATTCTCCTGCCTCAGCATCCTGAGTAGCTGGTACTACAGGTATGTGCCACCACACCTGGCTAACTTTTTTGCGTTTTTAGTAGAGACAGGGTTTCACCATGTTTGCCAGGCTGGTCTCGAGCTCCTCACCTTGTGATCTACCCGCCTCAGCCTCCCCAGGTGCTAGGATTACAGGCCTGAGCTACCGCACCTGGCTACCAGACATTTTAAAACATGGGTTTTGCGATGATCCTGTCTTAGAATAAGGAGCCTAAGGTCAGTTACGTAGCCTCAGCCTTGACTGTGGGAGCCCACGGGGCCTACTGCAGAGCTCCACAGGCCATTCTGAGTGGTTTTCACAACTAGCTGTGAAAAGTGGTGTTAGGATAGCTTTGCCCCAGGAACTGCTTTAAAGTTTGTTTCTTCAACCCGAGGTAGTTTTCCAAGGTAGAGATGGTATCTACGTTTTGATCCCGATTTAGGAGTTAAATGAAATACATACTAAAAAGGCTTTCACCGTGAAGAAGGGCAAAGACTTGTAGCTGGAGAGTTCTGCTAGAGAGGTTTATTTTTGTTTCATTTTGCTTTTAGAAGAACGTGAGGGGGACCTCCCGATTGCCCCAGGTAGGAAATGGGCTGACTGGGAGAATGGAATTAGAGGTCTCAGTGCTTTAGGAGGAGACAGAAGTGTGGGACGGTATTAGTTACTCCGTCCTGAGGGAAATAGGAGGTTTTATTAATGCTCACCTAACATGGATTAGGTGTCTGAAAGGATGCGGAAGTAAATCCAGGTAAGTCGAGAAAAATGTCCGTCATACAGCTACAAAGAGGCAAAGCTAGGCCAAACACCAGGGAGGGGACTTTATTCTTTTTTTCCCCTCTTTAAGCTGAGTTTGCCTTAGGAGTCAAAGAAGAGAAGAGAGGGTTGTCGCTCAGGTTCTGTCAGGGAGAACGAGGCCATCTTGGGTGCTAGGTCCAGCCTGGCTGATGTGGCTTACTATAGAAACCCTGCCGAACCGGGAGGCTGGCAGGGCTGGAAGGGGTCTGAGGGCTCGCGTGGATCAGGAGGTTGTACTGGAGGTAAAGATGAAGAGCAGGTTCAGAAGGAATGAGACAGTGGGACACTAGGAAACCAGGACCTTGGATGATCCCGCCTGGATGTTAGACACCCTCGAGCTTTTAACTAAAGGGCATGGGAATCCTGGAGGGCAGGCGTCCCCAAACTTTTTACACAGGGGGCCAGTTCACTGTCCCTCAGACCGTTGGAGGGCCGCCACAGTGCTATGCTCCTCTCGCTGACCACCAATGAAAGAGGTGCCCCTTCCTGAAGTGCGGCGGGTGGGGGGGGGCGGGGGCGGATAAATGGCCTCAGGGGGCCGCGGTTTGGGGACGCCTGCTGTAGGTGGAGAGGACGCCTTAGATAACTTAACTACAAGGTTGGAGGAGGAAGAAAAGTGGAGGCAAGAAAACTTCCAAGGAGCTGTGGCTGTGAGAGAGACAATGGAAGAAGGACTAGAGCTTGGGGTGGCAGTAAAGAGCCAGGAATCTGACTGGCTGTGTAAGGGATGGCTCCTGATCGCAGAGGAACAGGCCCATTCCAGAGAAAGTCCTTTATCCGTTAGAACATCCAGGTGACGACAGCATTTGAGGGAAGGAGCAGGGAACAAGAGAGACCACTCAAAGCCGAAAGCCATAACCTTTTTGTTGTTCCAATCTCTTTGTATTTTGTTGTATATGGTAGCCCTTACACTGTATGTCCAACTATTAGTGTTAAAATTTGGCCCCAGTGTGGTCTTTGGTAGCTGCTTTTGTCTTCTCGTAAGATGAAATGTTACAGGCTCACTCTCACACATTCTGTGCCCTAAGCCTGGAGTCAGCCATTTCTCCAAAGTGCTTTGTTTGCAAAACACATTTCTTTCATATCTATTAATTTTTAGTATATTTGTGTATCTATACATATATACATATATGTATATATGCTTCTACATGTTGGTATTTATATGTAAACAACAATGTTGCTATGTTTATATATATATTATATATATATAACTTCAGAATTATATCAGTATTATTAGGCTGGGTACGGTTGGCTCATACCTGTAATCCCAGCACTTTGGGAGGCCAAGGTGGGGGGATTGTTTGAGCCCAGGAGTTAAAAACCATCCTGGGCAACATAGTGAGACCCTTGTCTCTACAAAAAATAAACTAGGTCCTGATTTTAAAAATCGAAACATATAATTTTTCACTCTTATTGCCTTTCAGATAAATGGTAGCATACTGCTTACTATATACTTCTTCCTTCCCTGTCTTTTTTACTTCACTATATATATGTGAGATAAACATAATTTTATTACACAAATAATTCTGGCTGGGAGCAGTGGCTCATGCCTGTAATCCCAGCACTTTGAGAGGCCAAGCAGGGTGGATTCTGTGAGGTGTCAGGAATTGGAGACCAGCCTGGCCAACATAAGTGAAACCCCATCTCTACTAGAAATATAAAAATTAGCCAGGCCTGGTGGTACGCCTGTAATCCCAGCTATTTGGGAGGCTGAGGCACAAGGATTGCTTGAACCTGGGAAGTAGAGGTTGCAGTGAGCCAAGATTGTGCCACTGCACTCCAGCTTCAGCAAGAGAACAAGACTGTCTTAAAAGAAAAATAAAGAATTCTGACGTTATATTCAGTACTTACAAGTATAAACATGGAATTAAGCTTTAGAGTTTCAGAGGAAAAAAATATTGTAGAGAATTGTTTTCTATTCTATTAAAACTCTCAAGGACAGACAGACTGTTCTGTGGGCTTATGCTAGGAAAGTTAAATTTCAGCCCAGCGCAGTGGCTTACACCTGTAATCCCAGCACTTTGGGAGGCCGAGGTGAGTGTATCACTTGAGGTCAGGAGTTCAAGACCAGGCTAGCCAACATAGTGAAATGCAACCATTCTCTACTAAAAAGACAAAAATCTGCTGGGTGTGGGGGTGTATGCCTATAATCCCAGCTACTCCAGAGGTTGAGACAGGAAAAGCAGAATAATTGAACCTGGAAGGCAGAAGTTGCAATGAGCAGAGATCATGCCACTGTCCTCCAGTCTGGGTGACAGTGAGACTCGGTCTCAAAAAAATAAAAACAAAAGCAAAAAAAAATCAAATTTCTTCTCTTCACACACTTAGTAGGTAAGCTATATCAACAGGAACCAGTATCTCAGTGTTATTTATTTTTATTTGGTTAGCCATACTTTAATAGACTAATTCTTAAGTTTGTCTTCTAAATTGAATAGCTATAAATGTTCTTCGCTTTTTTATTTTGAGATGGAGTCTTGCTCTCTTGCCCAGG